ACACGGAAACAATTGAAGTGTAATTTCTTTAAGACTTGGGACTCGTAGTAAAGACTAACGTAACTACGTTACTTGAAATAGTAACATAAGTACGTTACCCGTTACTGTGCCGAAAACGTAACGAGTAGGTTACTACGTTACTGAAAGAAGTAACGCGTTCCTGGTAACGCCGTTACTTGTAACCTGTTACCGTCAAGACTGCAGAACGGACAAACCTTTATTGGTTGTAATGCCTTGTGGTCATGAGGGTATGAAAAATATCATACCTTGACTTGAAGACGCTCTGTGTATTTAATCAATTAATGAATACACACACTTCCGCAGACCCACAGTCTGCTGATCCCGCCGGCAGTGCGGAAACCGACTCGATGTAATCGTAGACCTCGAGAGACTTGTACGCCTGCACCGTGTCGGCCGTGAACTGGCTTGGCGAAAAAACTAAATAAACGACGACCTGAGCCGTTGACTTCCGTGGTAGCAACTTTACGTCGGAAGTCCAGCAGGTCTTGTTTACGGCGTACGGATCCTCGTAGGCAACGCCGTCCACGCACAGTTTGTTCCGATACCGCTACCGTTCAGGCTCGGGCAACGAGCTCAAATAGTCGGGCACAGCATACGACATACGTTATGAGGAAATACGACGGACAAATAAAGATACAAGCGTCCCTACAACGTCAACAACGAGCGCACGCCATAGAGCGCAATGGCGAAAACACGGACAGCCGGGCTGCTTTTGCCCACATAGCTACCGCGCATGCGCGGCCTTCCGGCCGTGTTGGTAAACAGAGCCGCTCCGCGTGTCGGTCTATAGAAGGTTGAAGTGGCAAGGTGGAATACGTCGAAATTTATATGCAACTTTCTTCCCCACGTCTCGATGTTCCTTGAGAACTGTTCATTTAAACGCATGTTTTGTTTACATAGTCAAATTTCAAAAAGAAAAAAAAAGCAAACAAAAAAAAAACATTATTTTTAAAAATATATTGCCAAATCGCGAACTCGCAAAACAAATCACTTTTGCCTCGAATTCAGAATGTACGTTATCTATTTGGGTGCTGCTCACGTTGGTTGCAAGTACCACCAAAAAAGTACACCTTGGCCGGAAAACTATAGAAAAAGCTATATTTTAGATAATGTGAGGCCACTTTTCTTTTTTGGTAAGCTGTTTTTCATAATCTTAAAGGTTTTTTTTTTCTTTTTTCAGAAAGAAGTATTTAGAAAAAAACATCCAAGTTTGGTCGGTACGGCTTAACCCAAAACGGATTGGTAATTCTGGGAGAACTTCGAGCAGGGTGGAGAATTACAATCAAGATGATTGAAATCGTTAGTTGAATCATGGCTTAATCGCGATTTACATCAGATCGGTTTTACTACGATGATTTAAATCAGTTTAGTACACAGGTTGCTTTACACACCTGCGACTGCTTACGGTCAGGTGCCCTAAAACCTCCCGGCATCTCTTACGACACGAGAGAAGAGACTGGCGCCACCTAGCTGGGAACCCTGGAACTCGTTGGCAGTACCGTATGATTCTTTTTTTTTTTTTTTTTTTTCAAACGTCATTTTTTTTTTTTTTTTTTTTGGGAGGGGGGGAAGGGGAGTATTAGAAAATTGTTGACAGTGTTATAAACGACCACTTCTCCAGAGTACGTAACTTTCATCTCGCCAATACTGCACAAGCTAGCATCGCTCCAGTGAAATGCAGTTCCAGGGCCACTTCATAGATGGCGCCAGCGTGCCAGTGTGCAAACGCCAGTGTCTCCAGTCATGCAAGGGTGCAACGTCTGCTGTCACTCGGAAACTTCGTAAGGTTGCTTTTCGAGTTATTTTTACTGACCTCGACTAACTTGGAACTTTGTTCGGACTACATACACTTTTCCAGCTGTTTTCATCCGGGCGAAAACTGCCGAGTCAACGGGCTGTGGACGCAGTATCGGGGGGTCGGTGGTCGCGTGGGCTACAGCACACCAGCTCGGAGAACGTGGAGCGAAAGCTGGCGCTGCAGAACCCAGGGATCCTGGGCTCAAACCCCACCCCTGCCCGTTTCGATCTGGATGAGGACCGTACCGGTGTGCGGTCGTGTATCACTACTGCCTGATGCACGTTAAAGACCCCAGGTTTGCGGTTGTACCGTACTGGCTAAATTGCTCATCTACAGCTGGGACTCAAGTCGCCCGTTGGGGCAGACTAAGTTCTAGGCTGTATAAACATACACACACCCCAATTTGTTTGTTTCGTTCTTGTTGATCCAGTATCCTTTTAAGTGAATGAATAAAAACAACGACCCTTGCAGGCAGCCACGCATCCCCTAATACATTCCTTATGCATACAGCCTTCGGGCTCTTCACACTTTCATTACATGGAGTGGCGTATAGGTAGTGGACTGTATCTACACCGTCGTATTACACAACTGCTAAGCTAACGTTGTTTTGTTATCCTTTTGTTCGATCGTTTCTCGGAGAGGGGGTTATTGCTCTTCCAGCTCCTTCAATCAAGACGCACGTAGCCATAGCCATAGAAGACTGCCACTGACGTCAGCACTGACGACCGCAGGTGTGGCGACATCACAATCGCAGCTATCAACCTTGACAAGGGCCAAAGAGGCGAGAAAATAAAAATAAAGAACACGACCGAAACATATCTCCGCCCCGATACAAGGGTACGTTTCCTTTCTTTTATTACTACCGCAACACCTTCCGCACCGTCAACATGAATACGACGCGAACTTGTGCGATTTGCCAGCTGAACGAAGGAAGAAATATACCAGAGAGAGAGAGAGAGAGAGACAAGGAACATACACATGCACTCCGCCAGAGTGGAGAGATTTTACGCGTTGACGACATGTGTACGCGGCAAAGGCCAAATGGGGGTGTGGCCTTCTTGACGCTTTCCGAAACGTGGTAACAGTAGGTGGAGTGGAAACGCGTGATTCGCAGATCTTAGACGGTGAATCTCTTTTCCTTTTTTTTTTTTTTTTTTATCCTTTAGCAGTCGAGTGCGGTTTAACAGATGTTTCCTCTACGTCTGAATTTAAACTCGAGACAGAAAGCACAAGCGGAGCGGCAGAAATTCCGGAATGGTTCAGCATGAAACTTTACGGAGAAACAAAAATATTAGACGGTCATTAAGCACCGTTTGTGTGTATGCTTCCTCGCGGTCTAGTCGTTTTCAGTGGCCTTCCTTCTCCATTGAAAAAATAAGTTTTTCGTACACGATTGGTTCAAGAAACATATCAGAACTTCCATTAGTGACATAAGAAGTATATATATGATCTCATACGCTTACTAAATCCATTCATAAAATTTATTTATATTTTTCACCAAGGTTGGCCTTCTACAGTACGCCACAGGAAGCAAGATTGCAACCCGAATGGAATAAGCGAGGCCGATGTGCTCTCGATATTTCTAGTGACACGAACACTTCCCGAAAGAAAACTAAAACCGGCGTATGCGTGCATACGTAATTACGACTTTGTTTGGCTTTGTTCGTATTTCTACATTTTCAGACACTTGTGGACACGTCAAACTCCAAATAAAAAATACCTTATTATTATTATTCATTTTTATTATTATTATTATTAAGAGTGTCTGATTTGTGGCCTCCGTTGCTCTTCTAGACGTGCGTCTATTTATATTTTTTTCTCATCAACTTTGCTTCCACGAGGATTACGACGTCCGTTCCTGGACAGCACAATAAACACTAATTGATTGCATGGTTTATTATTTCTAATGGCCACTGCAGTTCGTAGGCGGCGTCGATTACACGCACGTTTCTCAGTACTTGTAGCACACACTCACTATAGTTATCACACTCAGGAACGCGTTCGTTTGAGCTTCGAATAATAACCATTGTAACGCTAATGATGATAATCCTGAGAGGAGCGTGCGGAGACCGCGCCAGACCCGAGCACCCCTCGCGTGGTGGGAAGGCCAAGACTCGCGGACGCTCGCGAAGCTTCTCTGCGGAGCACCGAACCGCTCGAGCTGCAGCTCTGCTACAACAACTGCCTTCCTATCTCGCGGCTGGCTTAAACGTTTGGCGAGGCGATAAGATTGTGCCGCGGCTCAAAGGGACATCGGCAAACTTGGCACCTAGCGAGAAAGGTTTTGGCACTTGAGGTTCGGACCTAACAAACCTCGCGCAAAAAAGAGAGAGAGAAAAAAATAGAAACTGATTGCCAAGTTTGTTCGTGTGCCACATCGAGAGCTCGTGTAACCGAGAAATCGGGAAAGTAAACCTCGTAGTATATGCGAGGCTGCGAGTTCGAAACTCGCGTGCGATCGGGCGCCTGCGATCGAGTTCAAAGCACTAGCCGAGAAAACGGTTTTGAACGTAAAGGAAAAACGAATCGAGGTATTATTCTTTATTAAGGTGGGGCGATTAGCGCTCGTAGATTGGGATTTCCTAAGAAAAAAAACAAAAGAAAACATGCTTTTTTTTGTTTTGTTTTGCACAGACGGATCGCGAAGGTTACAAGCGCGAGCTCGTAGCTTTTCAAACAGGATCGTTCGGCAAAAGCACGTTACGAGCGGGTCTGCGGGAACCTTTAACCGCCATAAAACGGGAAAACACAGAAACAAGCTACACAGTCGAGCTCATTGTTTTCGCTTTTCAAAGTCTACTCAAGCGAAAGAGCGTAGAGGTAACTCCAACGTACGAGCACATTCCAGCTCCGAAGACTTCTCGTCTTTTCAGAAGGTTCCGAGCTAAAGTGGTGCGGTTTTAAATCATACGTACAGAATCTGCATGTCACGAGAGACCTGAGCGCATAAAGGAGCGCTCATTCGGAAGAAGAAAGAAAAGAGAGGAAAAAACGCGTTTATAATCACCCGGAAAGCACGCTCGATCTTTCAAGACCCATGCAGAGAGCTACTGCAACATCCCGAACCTGAAATCCATACGAACCAGCGGTCGGTTGTTCAACCTTTCGCTTCGCGTCCTTCGCGAGCAAATTATCCGAGAGTTAGGCGGTCGACGTGTGGACGAAATCTCGGGAAACTCACCTTATTCGGGGAACAGACGGTAATCCTACGGCGACAAAAGAGTGGCCGCAAAAACGCCAATATCGGGTGTTTGGGAGGGAAAAAAAACACCAAATCGCCGACGGAGCCAAGTGCATGCACACAGAACGGAAGTGGGGCGATCCCGGCAGCCATCGCGAGTACTGCAGTTCCTCAGCGCTGCCTCGCGGTACAAAATGTCAGCTTTTGAAAGCGGAAAATAAAGTTTCGGTTTCGGTTTCAGAATTCTTGGCGAATTTTGAGGTTTTTTGTTTTGGTTTTTCGTCCTTGTGCGGATTTTTCAAGCGATTGCTTTACGGGCGACGCTTCGCAGAGATTTCAACCTTTTGGGCTGTTTTCGCCACGCGTGAAGAATGAAAAAGCCTCTTCATGCTCTCTTGGCAGGAGGAGAGGGGAGTCGGGGGGGGGGGGGGGGGGGGCACAGTTACTACAGGTTTTCCCACTCATTTTAATCTAAGCGACGGCTAATTTAATCCAAGTGCCACCAAGTTTAATCCAAGCGCCATATAATTTAATCCTTCCGCTACCCTCGTTAATCTCGGAATCAGTCAATTTAATCCACAATATATATATGTATGCACTTATTGGGGTCTTCGGTGGTCGTGTTTGCTTACACATTTGTTAACTTGGAATAATTGTTTATACAATTAAATTTTTGGGGGGACAACTGATAATTTGATCCCTATTGTGATTACTTGGAGTTACTAGTTCCACTATTGACGAGGCATAGTTGATATGTTGCTTACTCTTTTTGTGATATGGAGTTATTGTGGCGCGCTCGAATTTATTTTAGCTGAATGGACGTTTTGCTTGACCTTTCTTATTACTCGACTTAACATTGCTACAGTTCAGATGATACAAGTACAGTGGCAATTTATGATTACTCTTTTGATTAATTAGTGTTATTATTGCTCCAATTCATCTATTATGAACTCAGTTGACATTATTATTTCTCTTTTGATTACTTCGGGTTACTTTGACCCATTGGCCATAAATTCGAATTAAATGTCATTGTGATGACTCTTCATTACTTTTAGCTAATCTTCAACGAATTGAATTTTTATGTGATGATTATTGACATTATGATTACTCTTTTGATTACTTTGAGTTACTCTCAATTCAATTAACTTTAATTCGGCCTAAGTGACATATGGAAACTCTTGTTTACTTTGTGTAATTATAGTGCCAATTCATCGGTTGTGAGCTCAATCAGACATTATTATTACTCTTGATTACTTCGGGTTACTTTCGATCCACAAAACTTTAATTCGGCCTCATTGATATTGCGATGGTTGATTTCTTCTGGCTAATATTTAACAAAAGTATTTATTATTAGCTCAATTGACATCACAATTACTTGTTTGATTATGTTAATTACTATTGACCGAATGAACTTTAATTCGGCTTAATAGACATTTTGGCTACTCTTTTGGTTACTTCGTGTTATTATATTTCCAATTGATCTGTAATGAACTTGGTTGACATTATTATTACTCTTTTGATTACTTCGAGTTACTTTTAACCCAGTAGACTTGAATTCGACCAAAATGACATTAGGATGACTCTTTTGATTACTTTGAGTTTATCCTCATACAAACTTATTTATTATGAGCCTAACGCATACTATGATTACTCTTTTGATTACTTTGAGTTACCTTGACCCAATAAATTTGTCCTATTTCACAATTTGGTAACTCTTCTGATTACTTTGAGGTCACATTCAACCAATTGGTCTTTCAAGAGCTCGATCCACATTTGTATTACTCTTTTGTCCCAATTAATCTTAATTCGGCTTAATTGACATTTTAATGAGACTTGATTATTTTCTGCTAATTTTCAACCAATCGATTTATTGGGGGCATAATTGACATGATGATTAATTTTTTTTTATTTATTGTTAACCCAATGGGGCTTTAAATCCGCTTAATTAACATATTGGTGACAATTTTAAGTACTTGGAGTTATTGCACCACCAATTTATCTATATGAGCTGAATTTTCATTGCAATTACTCTTGATTATTTAGAGTTACTATTGACCCAACGAAAATTAATTCGGCTTAATTGTCAGTTTGATGATTCTTGATTACTCTGAGTTAACATCGAACCAATTGCGTTCTTATGAGCTAAATTTGCATTATGATTACATTTTCAAATGGTTTGAGCTGCTATTGACTTCGTATTTTGATTACTTTTTAATAATATTAACTGTATTGATGATTTGATTACTTTTTCAATTACTTCTAGTTACTTTTGAGTTACTTTATACTTCACTTCATTTACCCCGGACACCAGAGGGCGGCGTCGGACCAGAAGTCCTTCCAGTAAGCCCTTCTCCTCGTCCGACGGCTCCCTTTGGTGTCCGCGATACTTCCGAGGTAAACGATCTTTGATTCCGATATTAATAGAAAAAATGTAGAGCCCTTTCACTTCACGCGAAGATGGAGGACCAGCGAAGCTATTTTAACAGCGCCTAGGACGATGCCTAGAGGACTGTCTAGGACGACCTTAATGACGACTTCTAGGACAACCTCGAACACTGCCTAGAGGACGACGTTTAGGACGACCTCAGGGACGACGTCTAGGACGACCTCGTGGACAATGGCTAGGACGACTTCTTGAACGACCTCAAGGACGACGTCTTGGACGACCTCAGGGACGACCTCTTCAACAACCTCAAGGACGACGCCCAAAGGACGATGTCTAGGACGACCTCAGGGACGACGTCTTGGACGACCTCAGGGAAGACTTCTAGTGGCTCAATGCCACACACCTTGCCACACGCGAGAACGACCATGCGCACTTCTTCATTGGAGATGATTGATTTTCACTCCAGCTAGGGGAGACAAAAAAAGGAGATCGAAAGAGGAAGAAGAATAAAGCAGTTGAGATCTGGTACGCAAGCTTTCAGGTCGTTCTTTCTCGGACCTCGCTCGCCACCTCAACATTGGTGACCCGGAACTTGGCAGCAGCGCCATGACCTCGCCACAAGAGCACGATCCCCTGTCGGTTTCCACCGTCAACATCAAGTTACCGCCCTTCTGGACCTCTGATCCAGAATTGTGGTTTATTCAAGTGGAATCACAATTCGCTGCACGTCGCATCACGGCAGACCTCACGAAATACCACCACGTGGTGAGTAGTCTGCCGCCCGCTACAGCGTGTGAGATCCGCGATTTGCTGTTTGCTCCACCCGCGGAGGATGCGTACAAGACGCTCAAAGAGACCTTCATTCGAAGGGTTACCCCTTCAGAACCCCAGAGATTTCAGCAACAACTTCGCGAGACTGAGCTCGGAGACCGCACACCGAGTCAGCTACTCCGTCAAATGCAACAACTGCTCGGGACCAGGACGACGGATCTCGACAGCATAATGCTCCGAGAACTCTTCCTCCAGCGGCTTCCTGCAAACGTGCGGATGGTACTCATCTCCGCCGGGGAAACGAACCTCTCCAAGTTGGCTGAGCTCGCCGACAGACTAATGGCCGTGCCCTCTTCCTCTGTCTCAGCCGTGCAAGCAGAGCCAGCTACTTCTGACCAGTTGCAAAACATTCGAGACGAGATATCGAGCCTAACCGCCACAGTAGCTGCACTCCAGGAGTCTGTTTCCCACCCGTCTAACCAGAGTACCAAGCCGCGACCACATCAGCAGCAGAAGGTATGCTGGTATCACCGCAAGTACGGTAACGCCGCACGCAACTGCGTACCACCCTGCGAGCACTCGTCGGGAAACGGCCGGGGCCGGCACTGAGGGCGACCAGTGCCTCCGCCTTGCCAGAGAGTCGTCCCTCGGTCTTTTTCCTCACCGACCGCGACAAGGGCGTTCGTTTCCTTGTTGACACGGGCGCAGAGGTGAGCGTGATCCCGGCGTCGTCTGCCGATCGGAAACACCCGAACTCGTCTCCCTTGCAAGCCGTGAACAACACGACAATCGCCACTAACGGGAACCGCTCTCTGTCCATCGACCTGGGCCTCAAAAAGACGTTCCGCTGGGTGTTTATAGTGGCCGACGTAAAGTTTGCGATCCTCGGAGCAGATTTTCTTCGGAACTTTGGCGTTTTAGTGGACGTGCGCAACAGACGGCTCCGAGATCCCGTCTCGCAAACGGTCGTGCAAGGCAAGCTTTCTAGGCACCCCCATTGAGCCCCACGCTATTAGGACCGTCGGGCCCTGCCCGCTTCACGGCAATCTTACAGAAATTCCCTGATTTGACGCGCCTTCCGCAAGCGGACTCGGCTGTGAAGCATGAAGTGCATCACCACATTACCACCACAGGCCCGCCCGTCCACGCACGGCCCCGTCGTCTATCGCCGGAGAAGCTACGGGTAGCTCGTCAGGAATTCGACCACATGCTCGAGCTCGGGATAATCCGCCCATCATCCAGTCCCTGGGCATCCCCACTGCACATGGTGCCGAAGTCCACACCAGGAAACTGGCGCCCGTGCGGAGATTACCGAGCACTTAACAGAGCGACAGTTCCTGACCGCTACCCGGTTCCACACATTCACGATATTACCACGAACTTACACGGCGCCACAATCTTCTCTAAAGTGGATCTGGTTCGAGCCTACCATCAAATCCCCGTGGCAACAAAAGACATTCCGAAGACGGCCATATCAACACCGTTTGGTCTATTCGAATTCCTCCGAATGCCGTTCGGTCTATGCAACGCAGCCCAGGCATTCCGGCGCTTCATCGACGGCGTCCTGCATGGCCTTGATTTCTGTCACGCCTACCTCGACGATGTACTCGTTGCAAGTAGCTCGCCGGAAGAACACGAGGAACAACTGCGCACCGTTTTCCGGCGGCTGACTGAACACGGAATCGTGGTGAACACCGTGAAATGCGAACTTGGTGTACAGAAGTTGGCTTTCCTCGGCCACCTCATCTCAAGCTCGGGAATTCTACCAACTCGAGAGAAGGTCGAAGCCATTAGACAGTTCCCCCCGCCAAACTCGAAACGTCAGCTTCGCGAGTTTCTCGGCCTGGTAAATTTCTATCGCCGCTTTGTTCCCCAGTGTGCGGCCGTCCTGCACCCTCTTCACAGCCTCTTGGCGGCACCAGGGAGTCCAACCACTGCACTTGACTGGACCGATGAGGCGACAGACGCTTTTCGAAGAATCAAGAACTGTCTCGCAGATGCT